CCAGACTGTGGGGGCGATATGCTGACTCTGTAAACCGCTTAGAGAGGGCTGAAAGCCCTATGAAGCGGTATATAAGTCTAACTGCTACTGCTACTGGCCAAGCTGATAAAAGTGGTTGCAAAAGGGCTGAACGCCAAGAAAGGCCTCCTTCGCCCAAGCCAGACTCCCGGGTTTTTAAAGAAGGCAGCAGCAGCAATAGCCGCCCTGCAAAGCAGCCTGGAAAATCCCTTCCAGCGACAAGGGAGGCCGCTCTCCTAGGCCGAGCCCGAGCGCTCCCTGCGGAGGGGGCCTTCCTGGCAGGGCCGGGGCGGCCGGGGAAGGGGAAGGAGGGCGGGGGGGGGAAGCTCACCTTCCAGCCGGCGGAGCTGTTGCTGTCGCCCTTGTCGCGGAAGAAGGGCACGGAGCGCACCATCCACTCGTAGATCTGCGCCAGCGTCAGCCGCTTGTCCGGGGCGCTCAGGATGGCCTGGCTGATCAAGTCGGCGTAGGACTGGCTGCCCCAAGCGTTGCGCCGAGCCCCGCCCGACCCCGCGCCGCCCTTGCGCGACCCGGCGGCGGCGGCGGCCCCCGGGCCCGACGGCCCGGACGCGACCCCGCAGGCCTCGCCGCCGACCCCGCCGCCGGGCTCCTCGGGGCTGGCCGCCGCCTCTCCGGGCTCCGACTCGACCACGGCCACCAGCTCGGGCCGGGGCAGCGGCCAAGTGCAGGAGCGCGGCCGGCTCTGCGGGGGGAACTCCGGGTCCAGCGCGGCCAGCGAGGAGGAGGAGGAGGAGGACTCGGCCGCCTGGGGGCTCCCGGCCGGTTCCGCCATGATGGCGCCGCCGCCGCCGCCTCTCCGGCCGCCCTTAGCGCCGCCACATCAGCGCCTCAGGCTGGGGCGCCCGGCGGGGAAGCGCCCGCGGAGCCTCCGGGGCCTCCCCCCCGGCTGGCCTCGGTGCTCGCTGCTGCGTCCGCCCGCCTCCCGCCGCGGCCTGGCAGCTCCTCAGCCGAGCGAGCGCGGAGCCACGAGAGCAGCCCGCCGCCTCGGCGGCACTCTGTTTACCACAGGCGAGGCAGGCAGGCAGGCGCCCCTCGGCGCGTGCGCAGCACCTCTGCGCGCCGCCAGGGACTCGCTTTCCCGTCAGGCAAAGCGAGCACAGACGAAGCGGAGGCACACGGACACAGACACTCCAGCCCGGAGAAGACGTTCTTCTGCAACTACACCTCCCAGAAGGCCTCGCGGCCCGCATGCCCCTTCTTGTCTTTACTTGGGGCCCTTACATAAGCAGGCGGCCAATCCGCTGCCGCCAAAACAAGCCCGCCGTGCCGAGGAGACGCTCCTCCCGCCTCCCTGCTGGCTCTTCCAAGTTTACGCCCTCCTCTTTCCCGCCTCTTGGCTGTGTGACCTCTTGGGCTGCCCGCCAGCTGGTCTTGACCCGCTGCAAACGGGGACGGGGTTTCTTGCGGGGGGATTAAGACTGCAAATATTGGCCGTGCGTTTTTCATGGAAAGGAGGAGAAATCGGCCTCCACCCCGCATTTGGCAAAGCTACAGCAGCCCCCCCCCCCCGAGATGCAGGGAGGGCAGGCAGCGGCTGTGCTGCAAACCACTTTTGGCACCGTCGGTGATGCATAAATCCATCCCATGTGCTTGGTTACAGCTTAGTGCGTCATGAACTGTCAGACCGTCCAGTTGAAGGAAGTCCTTTAATCACCAGACTTTCTAGCAGGCGGTGTGAAATGTTCGCTCCCTGACATGCCATGCATTTTCCTTTTGACAGGCCATGAGACCCAAGCCATGCCACCTGCCGAGACAGGACTAATGTCTTAATATGCACAGTAGTTAACCTGATTATTAAAATATTTTCTAGGTTCACGGGAGTCATAAAATACCTGGGAAAACTGGGTTTCTGCAACCAAACTAAGCAAAAGTTAAAACAGGGTCTGGGGGGGGGGGCAGAATAGCTGCAGGTACCGTGAAAACCGCCTAGATGTGGCCATCAGGGTGCAATCCAAGTTGCGCCTGGTTTTAAAGCATGTCGGAGCTCTCTCAATCCACCATCATGGGCATTCTTGGTGGTAAGCAATAACAGAAGGAATAAAGGAGCCTCTGGATCCACACTTTCGCCGTTGCTTTTGAGCAAAAACACACCTTTATTTAAACCACCAACTGAACCATCCCAGAGACGAGAAGTCAAGCCAAGTCTTCGGGATCAAGAGCTGCATCCCTGCGGTCCAAAAGTGCACCTCCTGAAGTTAAAAGCCGGCAGGTTGGAAGGAAATTCGACCTCTGGGGAAATTTGTGTCCCCAGTTTGGGAGGGGAGGGGAATGGGGGTTCTCTATATAAGGTCCTCCCTGGGAGCCTGCCTGCTGTAAAACCCCTTAATCCTGGCTGGAAATTCTGGGAGGTGCAGCCCAGCCCATTTAGGGGGGGTGAAAAGGCTGCTTCGATCCAGTTCACCTTGCCGGTTCTTGCGCTTTGCTGACACCTGCTGTAGGAACTGGCTGGTGTGGTGTATGTGTATGTGTGTGTGTGTGTGTGTGTTTTCCCTTCTTCCCGTTCAGGCTGCAGCATTTTTCGCCTGCGTGTTGCTTTCAAGTACTTTGCTGCTTGTGATGCTGATGCTGCTGCTGCTATTACTATGCCAGGATCTGCTTGAGTTCTGCTTTTCTCTTTTGAAGAAGGCGGTTATAAATGCACTGAAATATCAGGAAAAGGAAGGGCAGGGTTAGAATGGGAGGGGGGGAATAACCATTCCCCACCACCCCACCCCCGAACCTGTAGGACCCTTTGTAAGTTTGCAATCCGATGAAGGGGAAACTCCGCAAAACGCATTTTTAAGGCATTTTGATATTTTTTTTTGTATGTTTGCACGTCTGAACCGGCCCGCCTCTTGCAAAGCGCCAGCGACCCCCTCGGCTCCACAGGACAGGGCGAGGCAATCTCGCGCATGAGCCCAAGCCACGAACTTGCCCCCCTCTACCAGGCGAAGAGGCATTTCCTTGCGATGCAGCAGTCGGGGCACGCTTGACAGGCAAGCCCCGGACCGTGGATATTTCCTCCCCTTCTGCCGGGTGCGGATAGGGAGGTAATGCTGAATGCAGGTTCCCGGGACCGGAGTTCCGGAACCCCGCGCCATGGATAAGGCATTCATGCCCCCCTTGCCGGCAAGGAGAGGCTTTTGAGTTATGCGCGTCGCCGGGTTGGCGCGTCAGGAGCCCCGGAACCTGGATCCCGGCTGCGGTTATGCAGGGCGGAAGGGACGCCGCGCCTATCCGCGCAGGTTCCGGGGCGGCGTTATGTATTGCGGCGCCGCAGCGCTGAGGAAGAGGCGGCGGCGGCGGCGGCCGGAGTAGTAGCGGCGGGGGCGGCGGGGCGGGTTCCGCTGAGGCGGCTCTGACCGACGGCGCGTCCCTCCATCATGACCGAGGCGGCGGTGGCCGACACGCGGCGCCTGAACTCGAAGCCGCAGGACCTGACGGACGCCTACGGGCCGCCCAGCAACTTCCTGGAGATCGACATCTTCAACCCGCAGACCGTGGGCGTCGGGCGGGCCCGCTACACCAGCTACGAGCTCCGCATGAGAGTGCGTGGGTGGGCGGGGCTTCGCGTGGGTGGGCGGGGCTTCCCCTCCTGACCCCGCCTCCCGGAGGAGGCTGCCCCCAGTGGGGGAGGTAGGGGGGCTCCGGGGTAGGAAACCTTCGGGGGAGGGGAGGGTCTCCTTGCTTAGGAAAGGCTGAGAGCCCCCCACCCACCTATTAAACCTATTAACCCCCCCCACACCCACCTACCTATTAATGGGTGCATGGGTGCACAGCTAAGGAGGGGCAGGGGGGCTCCGGGTAGGAAACCTTCGGGTGGGGCGAGGGTCTCATTGCTTTGGAGGGGCTAAGGGCCCCCCCACCCATTTATTAACCTCCCACCCACCTAATAACCTGCCACCCACCTATTAAAGCGAGGGGGGTGGGTGCATGGGTGCACAGCTAAGGAGGGGAAGGGGGGCTCCGGGTAGGAAACCTTCAGGTGGGGGGGGGAGATCTCATTCCTTTGGAGGGGCTGAGAGCCTCCCACCCACCTATTAACCTCCCACCCACCTAATAACCTGCCACCCACCTATTAAAGCGAGGGGAGGGAGTTATGGGTGCACAGCTAAGGAGGGGCAGGGGGACTCAGGGGCAGGGAACCTTCGGGGGGGGGAGGGTCTCCTTGCTTAGGAGAGGCTGGATTCCCCCCCCCCCCCATGGCTGAGAGAAAAGGCAGCCAGCCCTGCCAGGAGAACTTTGCCCTGCAGAGGATCCTGATGGTGGGAGGGGGTCTGGAAGCTTTGGCAGGGGGTGTGGAGGGTGGGGGGGAGATGTGCAGGAAGAGGGTGGATCTTCTCCTACAGGAAATGGCTGCTTGCCCTCTCAAACTGCCTCGGGGGGGGGGAGGCGAGGAGGAGGAGGAGGGGGCGGCCTTCCATCCTCTCTTCTTCCCAACCAGACAAACCTGCCCATCTTCAAACTGAAAGACTCCTGCGTGAGGCGGCGATACAGCGACTTTGAATGGCTGAAGAATGAGCTGGAGCGGGACAGTAAGGTGGGTGCATCCAGCAGCCGGGCAGGGGGGCCGGGGCGCTTGCCTGGAGCCCGCTCTGGAAGACCCGCTCTGGGGCTGAGCCACCGGGAGGGGCCACACGAGAAACGAAGCAGCTGGCAAGCATCCGGTTCTCCTTCCCCGGCTAAAAACCCTAACTCTCTCCGCTGACAGATTGTAGTACCTCCGTTGCCTGGCAAGGCCTTGAAGCGGCAGCTTCCTTTCCGGGGAGACGAGGGCATCTTTGAGGAGTCCTTCATAGAAGAAAGAAGACAAGGCTTAGAACAGTTCATCAACAAGTAAGGCTTGGGGGAGGCGCTTGGCTGCTTGGGGAAGAAGGACCAGGTCATGCCAGAGGCAGGGGTGCTGCCCGCTGGATTTTAAGGGGTTCATGGTTTGGCTTAGTGCGTTAGGACGAGGGCTCTCCAAACTTGGCATATTACCCTTGGCAACTTTTGACTCAACTCCCAGAGTTCCCAAGCCAGCCCGGGAAAGTCCACCTTTTAAATTTGCCAAGTTTGGAGACCCCTTATGTTAGATGAATTTGTTTTAGTACACTCTGTTTGAAACCTCAGTTAAATCGGACAAGTAGTTCTCGACTAATAACCGTAATTGATGGTTGTTTGTCATCAAGCCGTCACTGTACCTGATTTTATGACCTTTTTTTTTGGTGGCCGTTAAGTAAACGTAGCCGTCAGTGAGCGAATCAATTTTATTTAGTGGGGGGGGGGGTTGCCAGAAGCCAGAACTAAACACCAAAAATCATCCCAAAGCATCAAAAATTGTGCTAATGTGCCTGCGACACTTCAAACAGCTGTAAAGGTGAATCCGTTCTGTAATTAGCAATAGCAATAGCAGTTAGACTTATATACCGCTTCATAGGGCTTTCAGCCCTCTCTTAGCGGTTTA